CTTATGTTCTCCTGATACAAATTTTCAAAATCGATCTTTGGAATTTTTAAAATCCCGCCCCGGGAATTCTTGGAATTTGACGTCATGAAAATTCCAAGAAGTGGCACGAAAGATACCTCCTCAGAACTTATGTTCTCCTGATCGTTATGTTCTCCTGATACAAATTCTCAAAAATGACGCCTGGGAATTTTTAGAATTTGACGTTATGAATATTCCAAGAAGTGATACGAAGGATTCCTCCTCATAATGCATGTTCTCCTGGTATAAATTCTCAATATTTTGTTTTTTATTTTTTATTTTTTAAAATTTGGGACAATTTCTGAGGATCGGAATGACGGGATTTATAAATAAGTAAATATGCAAATATTTGTTTTTATTCATATTTATTTTCAAACACTTTTGTACATCAAATGACTTAATATATTTTATTAATAGATAGATACATTATTAACACTTAATTCTAGAACGGAATTATCATAATAATATGTATATAATAGTGTGCGCTGTAGTACAGGATGTTGTAGAAAGTGTTGGGCTGTATTTAATGTCGTTCACATTAGGCTATTGTGGCAGCTACTTGCCTAATCTGAGCGCCCCCTTATGTAGATTAAACGCAGCGCCATCTAGCAGTAATGCGCGGAACTTCAATTAAATGACGTTCACATTAGGTTATTTTAACAGGTATTGGCCTAATCGGAATGCCCCCTTATGTAGGTTCGACGCAGCGCCATCTAACAGTGATACGGGAAACTTCAATTAAATGTCGTTCACATTAGGCTATTTTGACAGTCACTTGCCTAATCTGAACGCTCCCTTATGCAGGTTCACCGCAGCGCCATCTAGCAATGATAAGCGGAACTATCACTGCTAATAGAAACTTCGCTGATGGTATATTACCGTTGAACTGTAATCAATCAATTACCGACAGAACCCGGTCGGTACTTTGCACGTGTTCGTCATAGTTGAGCAGTTTGTTGTTAGATGGCGCTGTTAACAATTTTTGTGGCGGCTTTTTTGAAAGATTGTTTAACATATTGTATAACATATTTTGTAGTTTTTTTTATGTATCTTTTTAGTTTAACAATGATTCATTTACTAAAAGTTATTGACCCATCGTGTTCATTAAATATAAAAGGTAATCGTAAACGCAGAAGTATAAAAATATGTTTTATTCCTCACACAACTTTACATGAACAGTTGCCAACAGGCAAGGTTAAATATAATGAACGATTTGATATCACTTTACCATATCAAATTCACGCTTTTGTAAGAAATCTCACTTAAGATGTAAGCGAGCAAAGCGCGATTCATTCGTACAAAGCATTGTATTAAAAGCGGTAGAGGTAGTTGCAAGAATAAATGGGTTTTCCACCGCAGCACTGAAAACCGAGTATTATCATCATATTTATATTTCACTTTTTTTATCGTGTGCGACAGAAGGCACGTGCAAAAAAGTTATGGATTGATTGTATCTCGTGAAAATAGAAATTTATTATTAATTGAAAATATAAATTTCTTCTTTAAGACGATTCTAATTTATAAGCTACACGCAAAAGGCATTTTAATGTATAATATGCTAAAGAGAGAGTCGAACCCTGTACATTTGATATGCTTTTGAAAGATATGAATACCAATAAATAGTTAAAAGAAAAATGATGAAATGCAGTGATTCGTAATAAATTAATATAGCAGGAAGAAAATTAGCAAATTCATTATTTCTTTCAAGCGATATTTTAAACTGTGCCTAGTGATACTTCTAAATTCGATTATACTTGATTTAATTTGAACAATATCGAGGAGTTATTATTGTCATATGCTACCGAGATTAATTTCTCAGCGATAACGTCGATTTGCCCAACACTGTGAGCAGTAATAATCATTCTCTGCTGATCCAAAAAATTGACATTGTTCGCTACGACATTCTTTAACTACGGCCTAAACAAAAAATCATAAATTATTAAAGTTTTAATATTATAATAAAGATTTTAATACGTACACCTAAGCTGTTGCTATTATTCCATAACGCTGGTCCCGGTCTATCGGATGATGTTTGGTCATTGTAAAAGGTGGATCTATAAAAAAATGATTCATAATCATTTTTCATTAATAATAGTTAGTAAAAATACAGGAATATAAAGTACCTAGAAAGATAAAGTGTGCGATCTTTATTTGGATTTGTGGGTAATAACTTGCTAACACTCGCATGGCTGTCTTGATCGCTGGCAGCATAAAATTTAGATTTGCCAGCACCATAATTCATTTCGCTACGTGTTTCATCAACTTTATGATCTTGCAGGTATCTATACGTTATAAAGATGATGATATAACGCACGATATAAATGAAGTAAAGCAAATATACTAATAAAAGAAAAAGAATATAACACCTTGCATGAGCACATTCCAGATAATTTTGAAGCATCTGATCTACATATTGGTGACGTCTACTTCTGATTCTTACGCACAATAAACCTTCGGTAGAAAGTCCTCCTGTCGTCGTCGGTGGGCTTTTTGGTCTTTTTGCCATAGACCATAGTCTTTTACTAACGGATCTTCCAATCGATCCAAATTGTTTTGCAACACCCAGTAACTGTTTTGCTGTTTTAGAAAGTGAACCGTCCGTATCGGATAATCTATCGATTTCTTCCGATATAAAATTTTGATATTCACAATCCAAATATACGCGCAATAAAATTTCCAACTAAACATAAATACGATACAATTGTCCTTTAATAAGCTAGTCCAATGTACATAAATATATTATAAAATCAATTACCGTATCTTGCTGGCAAGTTAACAAGTCCCGTGAACCTTCTTCCCAATCCCAGTCTGGACCAGGATCGACCGCAAATAAAACAGGCAATAACTGGCCTGTATCTGGATCAACAAGAGGTATACTAACACCTTCGTTACAACCCTCCCTGAAATCATTTGCCCCATCCACGGTAACAAGAGGGGAAAAGTGAGCTGAATGATATGCCAAAAGCAATGGAGTTCTATGACATCGAGATGAAGGTACTTCCAATGGTAAGTACACTCCACCAAATGGGATGGGTGCTAAAGCTACACCTTCTGCATCTTTTAACATAGTTTCTGCTATAACTATTATAGATCTTTTTAAAGCATGAGCCAATGCTAATACGTGTACCTGTAACATTTTATCATTAGAAACATTTAGTAAACTTAATTCTAAAATAAACACGTATAAGAATTTAATACACACTTCTTCAAGACTCTGATAAGATGTAGCAGTTTGATTTCTAAAAATAGGAGAAGCCATATCAACAATTGTTTGCCATTCTGTTAACCATTCTGCTTCTGTATAAGACAACCCTGCAGCTGCATTTAAGCCCATTTGTCGCCATTTCCACCTTCTAAACAAAGCATGTCTATACTCTCCTTTAGCCAGAGTATCATGCAATGCTTCCCTTAATGTGAGAAGTCTATCATGAAAGCCCCACATGCCAAGAGAAGCAGCATGTAAGAGACAATTGCCATCTCCGGATGTTGCCAAAGGCCACAGTACTCTATTGCTTCCATTTTTACCTCCACACCACCAGTTTAAACGACCAGCAGCTTCCAAAGAAGTTAAACATCCTCTTTCAATCAGATCTTTTTCCAGAAATTGACGAAATGAATCTGTGTACAATGCGTTATTTAATTAACAACCAACTAAAGAAACCATCGTATAGATAAAATACCTGGATATACGCTTAAATCAGGAAGCGAGAATGTGAATTCCGGGGTGTCCAAAGGACCTAAAGTGGCTAGTTGGGAACGAGCATGAGAGACAATAGCTGCATTCTCTGTTGCTCGAGATATACCCCTAGCCAATTTCTTTGTAGCACCCCCTCCATTATCCAATCCATTGTTAGAGGTTGACTCTTTCTCTGAACCATCGTATGTGGATAGCTCCACGTTCATTACCCTGCCTTACCACACCTATAAAGTAATACTTTATCAGACTTTTATCATATGAAAGTAACAATGATGTATTGTACATATTATATGAGTTATCGCATAACTTACGAATAAGATGTATGTAAATATAGTGACCATACAACTTTATATAAGGATACATGTATATATGTACATATATATGAGAGGTCATAAAAATAGTACAAGGTTCTACAACTACAACAACATCAAAGATTTACTAAAAAATAACTGCTTAATAATCCTGTCCTTAAGACAATTAAATGCAATATAAAAAAAATAATGAATACAAAAAGAATAACGGACGCGGAATCATTGAGAAAATATTTCAATTATCAAGATTACGAAATATCAACAATGAGAAAATACAAAGCAGGTGTATGATTGCATATATATAATGTTTGTGTATATATGTGATTGGGTTGGGTACGATGATTTAAAATGTACAAAGCTTGCCTTGTTTATTAAATTAGTGCAATTGCGTGTAACTACGGGTTATTGTTAAATGGTATTTTAATTAGTATGCAATGTATAAGTTGTACATATATTTTTGTATACTTAGTACTACAATTTTCGTACCGAAATTTACTTTGGGATGGCTGTCCACAGCGTATGAAAACTAAGAATCTGTCTGTACGAACGGTAATATAAACACAACATAACCTAAAGCGCGTAGCCTCGAAACTGTCGGATAGAGTGGCAGAAAACGAATTATTATTATTATGCGCAACAGTCACTGTGAAACTTTAAACCGGTCACATGTCAAATCGACGAGGAGTATAGGTATTGCTGTTTATTTACGCAGTAGTATTCTTGTTCATTGGCGAACAGGTCGATGTGATCGCAGTAGCGCGATAACTTTTGAAATTCAAGAAAACTCTCTGTGCTACAGCTTATCTCATAATACCTTACTGTTACTTCGAAATGCATTTAACCTTGAAAGTATGCATTGCGCATCGCATATATCACCCACGCAAAAATATGTTCGTTCACAGTATATATGAATAAAAAAAGTATTCGAAACACTTATTAATTTTTAACAAATTGCTCGCCTTTTCCTTGTACAATATATTTGTGATTGATATGTTACACGCTTTAATTTATTTGAATTGTTTGATTATTAAAGATAAGCACTGCTAGTTTCTTAATAACTTATATGTAATATGTTAACATGTATAATGAGTTAAGCTTTCCAATGAAATTTTATCGTATTTTCCACGTGCATCTTTCTAACAATAAACAGACAATGTTCGTCGAACATTTACTGAAACAATCAAAAAAGACTAAACAACTGAATAAACCGCGTTAAGTTGATTTGCTAACTTGCGCACAAATATAGCGCCACAGGTTATCACTCCCGACATTGGTAGTCTGTCTACCTTGCTAGACGCGCACCATGTCGACGTAGTAGACGTGCACCAGTGTGCGTTTCATGCTGTGCATGTGCTTGTGTTCGTTTCGAACCTCAAAAATTAGCCGTTTTTGCCGGAAACTTTTGCTCATTAATCGCAAGTGAAAACATTCTCGCATAATAGACAAAAGAACTGAAAGGAATAACGATGAACAATCGCGAAACTTACCTGTTACTTTTTCTATCAGTCAACTTGTCGATTCTATTGGGCCACGTAGCCGGTTCTAAGGTGCTACAAATTCGTGGTATACCTATCGCGAAAAATTCACTTTACCCGCCGGATCGCGATTTTCAGTGTTTCGACGGAAGTCTGTTAATACCATTTTCGCACGTTAACGATAATTACTGCGATTGTGCCGATGGCAGTGACGAACCCGGTACGCCTGCCTGCGCTAACGGTTTATTTTATTGCGAGAATGCTGGTCATAAGCCTCGCTACATACCTTCCACTTGGGTAAACGATGGTATTTGCGATTGTTGCGATGCTAGCGATGAATATAACTCAGGTAAGCAATGCCCAAATAATTGTAATGAATTGGGCAGAGAAGCTAGATTGGAACAGCAAAAGGCAGAAGAATTAATCAGAGAGGGTAACAAAATAAGAATTGAGATGATTGCTAAGGGCAAACAATTGAAGACAGATTACGAAGCACGGTTAGTTAAATTGCGGGCAGATTATGGGGAAGCTGAGCTCACGAAGAAAGAGAAAGAGCTATTAAAAACACAGGCAGAAGAACGAGAAAGTGCTGCTTTAGAGAAGTACAAACCATCCGAATCAGAACAGCCTGCAGCAGAGGAAGGAGAGGAGGAAGAAGAGTTGCATGAATCGGATGCCGAGGACTATTTTAAGCTATTAGATTCTGATAATAGTGGTACTGTCACAATTGCGGAGCTGCAAACTAGAGTAACATTTGACAAAGACAGAGACGGAGTTATAACCGAAGAAGAAGCATTATATTTCTTGAATAATCAGAAAGAAATAAATCTTCAAGAATTCATGGATTCAGCTTGGACAAATATTAAACCTTTTGTAATGTTAGAACAGGGTTGGTATTGTTAATAAATTTAGTTTTTTGTTTTCAATTTAAATTACATATATCATAATCTATACTTTATTTCAGGTGTATTTAAAGCAGCTGACCATAAGGAAGAAGAAGCACAAGAATCCATGGAAGAAGGAATAGAGCAGGATAAAGAGGAGGATGATGGCAACGAGGCAGAAGATGCACAGGGTGAAGAAAAAGAAAAAACTGAAGAACATACTGTACAGTATGATGAGGAAACTCAAGCTCTTATCGACGAAGCAACAGTTGCTCGCGAAAATTTCCAGGCGATAGAAAAATCCGTGAACGAGTTGCTGACGGAAATTAGAGATCTTGAAGAGAAACTAGATCGTGATTACGGTACCGAACAAGTATTTGCGCCACTGCATGGAGAATGTTTCGAATATACGGACTTAGAATACGTTTATACGTTGTGTATGTTCGGAAAAGCGACGCAAAGATTAAAGTCCGGAGGTAGCGATATCAACTTAGGTAATTGGTACGATTGGATTGGACCAGAAGGCCATAAATATTCGAAGATGAAGTACGATCGTGGCCTTACCTGTTGGAATGGACCTGCGCGTTCGACTATAGTTAATCTAAGCTGTGGTAAAGAGAATAAACTGATATCGGTAACAGAACCTAACCGATGCGAGTATTCCATGGAATTTGTCACACCGGCACTATGCAACCCTAACATGGAACCTGCTGATACGCACGACGAATTGTAAATTTCGTTGCGTGTAAACCGGCACAAGTCAAACCACGATACACGCGACTTGTGTAATTTTTAAATCTAAAGTTTTAAATTTGCAAGGATAAATAACGACTGCGTTGGTCTTTGATATATCAAGCCTCTGACGAGCGTTTAATGTATTAGCGTAAAACAAACAAAATTTACATCGGCCATGATTTGCACTTTTTTTTTTTTTTTTTTTTTTTTTAAAAGATAAATGTAACTGATAAGTCTTCGTAAACAGCCTAATCAACACCTTTGCGCGACACCTGACGATAATTCCATGAAACATCGTCTTTGCGATTGGTTATTGATCCTTGCATTAGAAATTCCTTGTTGTTTCGCGTCGATACTAAACACTCGGATTCCGTGACTGATAACAACGACCACGAATTATCAGCCGAACTTGGTTTGCTTTGAACAGTAGAAAAGTTCGTCGGGAGACACTTAACATCCGCGATACGCGAATGGAACTCGTTGTTGCGCGGTCATTATCAATATTGTGTGACTATTGTACATTCCTCTTTTTTCTACGAAACAAATTTCTACGAAGCGACTTACAAGAACGACATAATAGAAAACACTTTCCATTCACGCTTCGTTAGGATACCTCGCCGGTCAGTATCTACGTAACTACAACTACTTTCACCGAACAAAATGAACTGGAAAAGAAATATCACAATTTAGAGGAGAACCATTTTCGAAATTTTCAACTGCCACGCGTAACGTAGATATCGTATTTAGCGTGTCGATTATTACTAAGTAAAGTATTTTGTAATTTTTTAAAGGTGCGCACATGTGTCGACGCATCAGAAATGCGGGTTCAATAAAGAAAGAGAAAAGAAATGATTCTGTTGTCAAACTGTAATTACGATGGCAGCTTTATTTACATTACAACGGGCGACTTTCGATAATTATATACGTATGTATATAGACAATATACATATACATACATACATCGCATGTGTGTGTGTGTGTGTGTGTATATATATTCAGATGTTTTCAATTATGCAAGTTTTTATACGTTTATAGTGATGGTTAATCTTCTATTTATCTCGTTAATCTATTTAATCTACACGTATCTTTTGGGCTCTGAGACGTTTACAGTCAACTAGAACACTAAAAGGAGAGCGTAGGGGTGAGGGGTGACAAAAAGTTTACCCCGCAATTTATCCAACGCGTTGTTTTACTCGTCCAGTCGATTCCTCGTTATTTCGTTAAGGCACTTAAAAAAAGACTGAAAAGAAGTATCCTATCTTTCACGTGATTCACGCGATAGAAACGATACGCTTTAATACAGACCTTTCCAAGAATGATCTCCAGAGCCGAACAACATACTTTACTCTATCTTTCTTATTAACGTTTACTATCGATAACGTGTCGCGTCAATATTGAAATCGAAAGAGGATCAGTGGCTCCTCTCGTGGAAAGATCTGCTTTAAGGTCTTTTTTCACCCCACGATGATCCTAGTTTCTCCCCTTAAACGTACATAACGAAAAATCACGATTCGTTTTGATCTCTTGAATGTGAAAGTATGTATCATTTCGAACATATATTTGTATTGAAAATCAAAAACAGGTATTTCGAGGTATCGTACAATATCCGAAGAAAACAAAAAACAAACGAAAAGTATTAACGTTTCTTCGAACTTTGAAAAGTAGATTGAACATTGAACGGATATACAGAATATCATTTACAGTCGCGCGTTTTAATAACATCGATATACATAGAAAATATTAAATTGGTAATGGAAAGGCAGCATTTTCCAATAGATTACCATAACGTTTGTAGATATGAATTATTTCACACGATGTTTTCGTTTATTAACGATACCCTGTGTTTAAACGCATTCTAACTGAACTTGTTCTTTTTGAGAACGCGACCCGTTCTTTTTTTCTCCTTTTTTCTTTATTCGTATGTTGTCGTTCACGATCGTGCCTAACTCTGTAACGGGGTTTTCTGTTTCTTCTCTTTTGTACTTGCACAACGGAACGAAACGCGACGTCTATTTGCGCCTCCTCTAAACTACTATACAACAAGTTTCACGAAACGCTGGGTGCCTAACACGAAAAGAATTTGCAAGCACGATAATATTGCGGTCGGTTTACGATATCGTGCACCAGCTAATACTGGGTTCAGATAGGACTGGTAATCCTAATGCAATACGTGATTCTTATTACGAATTAAAAACAATGATAGCAACGGAAGAATTTAAATAACACGGCGGTTAACGCATTGACTTTCATATAACTTCAATGGAAATTTTACGCTGAAGCGATGATCAGGCAATCAACGCGTTAATTTTTCTTTTCGAATTAAAGAAATTCTTTTATGAAAACATACAAAATTTAAAGAAATAATGTTACGTTATTGTCCCTCTTAATTCTCTTTCTTACATATATCCTTATCTTCTCCAGTCTATTCAGTCTACAAATAAAATTGACGTTTGTAAGAAAACAGGCATCGTGTCCTTTAACGGAAGCTCGAATCTTTTGAATAGCTTTGTTACAGCCTCTTATGTTCCACTTAAACGGATGTAAAAGCATATCGACAGACGAAAATCAATCAAATCAATCTTAATTCATTGTATACACGATATGCAGTTCATTTTCCAAGTTTCTCGAACATGATGAGCTTTTCCTTAAAGGTTTTCGTATCCGTGGACACTTCTGATATATTTCCGTTCAACATGTTTTGCAAGTCCTCGTCGTTTTTACTGACAAGGAGATTGTCGAACAACATCTTGTTATCTTCTTGTTTGGCGACTGGAGAGGTGGGCTGAGAAGTGGTGATTTGTTGCTTTTTCTTAGGATAAATCACAGAGCTTCGTTGATTATTGCCATTGTCGGCCATTCTGGTAACTATAGTGATTGCTAACAGCTGATGGATATCGATGTTTTCCTTCGATTCCGACGACTGACGCCAATAGAACTTATCCGGCGAGATTAAGGACTTTGAGTCCTCTGTACCGTCGGCAACTGGCGAGATTTCATCCGTCGTTACGTTCTTGTTGGTCCAACAGTCCTGAAAAGAGAAACGATCTTGTTTACTAACTATAGCTAGGCGAATAGAAAATATAAGGATTAGATAACTCACGTTTTTCTCGCGCTTATTATCCACCATAGCATCGACGAGATCCTCTTGTTTTTTGTTCTGATCCAAATCTCTCTCTAAACTGTCCAGAGTTTCCGTGCTCTCGGAGGATTTATTTCTCCTCTCAGAGTCTAAGGTATCCGTGCTACCAAGTTCCGAGCTTTCCGAAGATTTCTGAAGCCTGGATGGCTTTCTGACGGGTATCGGTCTCTTCTCCTCTTCTTGATCATCCGTCGGAACGATATCTACGAAACTAGAGCTGGCTATTCTCTTCGGTGTCCTCCTGATCCTCCTGTTCTCCAATCTGTCGTCCATTTCCAAATTATCCGAACTCTCGGACGACATCCTTTTCGAGGATCTTCTACAACATTTTCCAAAGCTATCTTCTCCGGCATTCTCTTCTTCGTCCTTGCTCTCGTTTATCTCGATCCTCTCAAAGCTCTCCGAAGACTTTGAGATGCTTTTCGACAACCTCCTTCCTCTGGCTAGATTGACGTCCGAAATGCTGCTTCTCTTCTGTAGCTCCTGCATAGTGTCCGAACCAGTCTGAGTTTGTTCCAACACCTCGAAGCTTTCCGAAGACTTTGATATGTTCTTGGAGGATCTACGAGCACGGAACTCGAAGCTACTCCTTCTACGTTCGATGGACTCGTCGCTGGTGAGTGCCTCGATGGCCTCCAGGCTGTCCGACGACTTGGACACGCGGTCGATCGACTTCGAAATCGGATTCAACGATCTTCTAACGACAGGTTTCGCTTCCTCGTACTCTGTTAGCTTGTCGAAACCTTCGCTCGATTTGGAGAACCAACAGGAGGCCACCTCTAAACTATCCGGAGATTTGGACAGTCTGTTGGAGGATCTTCTTCGAGGTAATTTGGATTCCAGTTCTTCAAAGATTTCCGAGTTCTTCGCTATTCGACTCGACGACTTCCTGACGACCGAACGGATTTCCGGCTGCTCTTCGTTTGTCTCCGTGTTCGTTCTCGTTGGACTAATGGCGTCCAAACTGTCAGGAGACAACGAGGCTGCGCTCGATGGTTTCCTCGGCAATTTGGTTTCTAGTTCTTCGAAAATGTCCGACGTACGAGATAACCTGCTCGATGATTTCCTCGTTACAGATACCGTTTTGGGTTCGGTTGGCGAAGACGTATTGCTGTTCGCGTTTATCGTTTGTTGGTCCAGACTGTCCAGCGAATCTTCCGCGATGGTAGTAATGGTGGACGTGGAGGTGTTGGTCGCTTGCGAACCGGTGCGTCTCGGAGGTCGTCGGTTTTTAGGTCGTACAGAAATTCGATGATGAGCCGCTGTATGGTTCAGACTCGCGCTTTCTAGTTGCGCTGTTAGACAAACAGAGTTTGGAATAGATTAGGAAACTATTGAAACGAGATCCATTATAAAGGATAAAATTATATAAGAGAAAACATATGACAGTACTTAAAAGACATTTCACAAATGTCTGTTCGCTAGATTCGATAATAATTGGATTGCGATTCTAAATCCGATACTTACGTAAGTCTTCTTTGGCCACAGGGATAACTCGATCGATCGCGTCCTTTGACGATCTTGAACTCTGGAACAGCAACGGAAACAAAGTTACTAATGTATAAAGGGAATTTCACCTGAGGTCAAGTTGTAATGATATCGCGTCAACGACTCGTTCGGTTCAAGGAAAAGGATCGATTAATTTAAAGCAGTGGTAGGTAACCTTGATACGAACTCGATGTATAGAGGTAAATTATACAAATTCGTCCCATTTTCTCTCATTGTCAGAAACAGAGATAACCGGTGTCGATTATTCTCTAATTTTGAGTTGAAAACAAATTTGAAAATAAAGTAAAATGTTAAAGAAAAAAGGTGACGCGGAAGACTTCGAAAGGCCGCAGGTCCCTCACCCCTGGCCTAGACGAATTATTCGTTACATTGTTCCTGATCTTCCAGCTCGGTGCACCAACCGCGCCGACTATAACGGTATTAACCATCGTCGGGGCGAACAAATACGGCCAGTTAACCGTGATCGTTCGAAACCGGTTACAAGTGTCTCGTCGAAACACGTTTGCAAGTTGTGAAAAGGTTTCGTTTGCGTTACCCTTTTTCCTCCCGCGCAACCGGAACTCATTATTATTCGTAACAGCTGATCAGTCGCTTTTCGACTCACCGATACAACTAATCACTGAAATTATGTAATCGTAACGAGGTTATCGGCATCGCGAAGTTCGATCGCACGATCAATTACCTCACAGGTTTCCTCGATTCGTGGGCTCGCGTCTTTAATAATTGGCGGGATCCGTTGTCTCGTTTCCGGCTTCGAGCGTGGTCGATCCTCGATCCTGCACGAAGGTTTTCCGGATCCCGTCGACTCGTCCTCCGCTTTGTCCTACATTCGTCGACGAACATTGAATCGTATAGTACGTGTAAACAGTAAGTTGCAACAAGTGGGGCAATGGAAGTACTTTAGGAAATTTTGTATCTTTCGGAAAAATTGATTGTTTTGCCACTGGGGCACCAGATAAACACCACAATGAACAGATGGTCGCATATATTTTTTGTCCCTATCGTTTAAAAAAGATATATGTATATGTATAAATAGCAGAGAGGTATCAAGTATCGAAAGGGTTAAAAATTCGTCTCAGAACGGAATATGGGGTTCGATCGATTACCTCGATCCTGTCTTCAGCTCGAACGAATTGCTCTGTTTTAGCTTGAAGGATCGTTCGTCTATTCTCCGGTTTCGATCTTGGCCGATTTTCAAGTTTGTACGTCGATCTTATCGATGCAACCCCCTTGGTCTCGATCTTGTCCTTGTATTCAGAGTCACATAACGTTTTATTAAATTAACGCTCATAACGATTAGCTAATCCGTGCGTACTTTATAGCGAGTATTTAGAGACATTCCAAGAACAGCCTAGGCAAAGTTCGCATCCTAATTAGGCTCTCCTTAGTATGTACGTTTAAATGAAATGATTAATAGCTCGCCTCTAGGTACACCCACGGATTCGCAAACCTAATCGAACGAACCGTTCGCGACGAGAACGGAGACTGGTCGGCGAAAGTCGATTTAATTTCACCCTGATCGATTTACCTCGACCGCATGATCCTCGACTGTCGTAGCAACCTCTTTCTTAATCGCGACGATCTTTCTTTGTCCAGTTTCCGACTTCCCTCTGAACGAATCCTCCAGTTTGCACACGCGTTTGATCGGTCCTGGTATCTCGTATTCGACCGTCTTCTCCTTGCATCCGTATACCCCGATGCTAATCTTTGCCGTAGGTTGAAGACTAAGCACCGTAGGCTTGTCCTGTTTCGTTCGATCGATTAATCGTCTTCTTTCCACCGGATTTAAGTTCAGCTGTTCGATTATAGCCCGAATGTTCGACGAAATGCTGCCCTCTCGATGGGACACCACCATCATGCTGGTGATTCGTAACTCGATTCTCGAGTATTGGTCGATCTTTACGAGGCGCGACCAGGATCGAACGAGTTCCAGCTTCTAGGGGAAGTTGGAGGTACTCGCGGATGAAACGTCATAAGGATGGCGGTATCTGGAAGATACCGGTAGCGAAGACTCTAAAAGGTTTCACAGGGAAATTCGAGTTAAGCTTCCAATCGATGTTTTACGACGACGTTTTACTTCGCGGTACTTGTGTCGTCGAACGGTGTCGAAGTTTCTACATGCATTCTGAAATCGGTCATTTGATTTACGCAACGTAATCAAAAGAAGCGCGTATGTAGCGCGGTAGTCATCTTACAAACGAAAGATTCAATCTTGCAATGATATCGAAGAAACTTTTGTAGGCAAACTTTCGAAATTGATCGAGGTTTCTTGTTCCAGAGATTTCGACCATTAAAAATCGATGAACCGACCCGTCTATTAATCGGACACGCTCACGAAGCTGACACGAAGAACAATCGCGTACGCTTCCACTCGCGCGAATAAATCATGGCTAACCAACCTACCGTTTTCGCGGTTAATGTATCGTTTTTCTCAGAGTTTCACGCGTGCTTCTAGCTTGTCCTCCTTTCCTCGACCGCTAGGAGATCCTCGAGATTCTGATCGCTTCCCACGCGACCTTCTATCCTGTCCCTCTACCCCAGAACAAGATCCTCCACGACATTGCCCAGACCATTTTCGATCACGCGAACACGAAATAGATAAGCGAGCAGCTGGAAAAGTCACGCACGCAATTGTGCCGGTGTACGAGAAACGCGTTCTTTCGCGTAGCTTCGTGGAAATAATTGAGTAAGATCCGAATACCGTGCGGACTTTAGACGACCTGACTTAAAATTTCAAGTTTACGAGAAATCTGCTTGCACTTTGAACGTTCACTGATCTTCGCGATAATTTTTGCGTAAGCTCTAGTGGCGATTGTTTGTTCGGCAAAAAATAGGCCAAAGCCCACGTCGGGCGCCCATGATATTTACTCGACAATCTCTTGTTCATCGAATCGTGCACGGGTAACGATTTTCAGACGTTCCCGTTGCGGCGAGCTTACTCGCGAGATCGCAAATTAAACGAGACCGGGAAATATATCGGTTAAATTTGGACCGGTATGGATTAAAACTAGTTTGGTCATGAAAAATTACTAATGCAATTTTAGCGAAAATGTCGTTGGGCATAGGTCAGAAGTCTGGTCCGGATCAACCTGTCCAATATCGGTTTATAAATATCGCGACAAGTGGACAAGCCGTAGGAATAAGCGTAGTTTTTCAACGGCAGAACATGTTTGTAAGGTTGCCGGTTCCTAACGACTTCATAACACACCTTCGATCGGTTTATTGCAAAATCACCGTACAGTGTTTCTGTAGTCGGTCACACCTATGCTACCACCTGCACGATCTGTCCGCTTGCATTCCAACCGGATGCACGTAGGTATACTGCCGGCGGAAATTGCGGAACCTAATAATTTTCCACGAGAGAAGAGAAAGTGACGTCGACACCGTGTCGAGGAAAACTCGAACTACTTGCGTAACAGTTGATAAAAGGCAGCCATCCGTAACGAGTTTCAACCGGAATCGTCTCAAGGGTTGAAAGCAATCGGCGAACAGCGAACAAGATTTGTTCGAGCGAAGAACATTATCGACGATCGGATGAAAATCCGTCGGTGAATCAGCCGATAAAACGAACGAGTCCGCGCGTTACCCTTTTCCGTAAACTCGATGAATCAACCGTCCGGTTTTGCCTCTAGCCATGGAACCCCTTTAAATGGGTCGATCGATAGCAGGCAAGCATCAGGATATCGATCAAACTTTAAACCTCGATGAGTTTTCTCGATTCAACACGCTATTTTTGTCGCGATTCTCAAAACTTTCGGAGCGCCGGCGCGATGGAAATCGTTGCTAATGTTACTCGGGTAATTTTTCGCGTTTCCTGATCGCAGATTACGTCGAAAAGATGGTTTACAACCAGGTTCAGTTCGAACGTTTAACGCGAAGGGGTAACGGCGAACAAGTTGCAGAGATTAGATCGGAAGATTCGTGGACGCATCGGTGCTCCACATCTGATCGAGATCGACGTTAACGTTGCATCGCGTTGCCGTCTTTCCTCGTGGCAGTTGGCCAGTCGGTTCGGCGTGTATCTTATTGTGCCATCATTCTCCAATTTGTTTTATTGCTCGGCCGAGTTCTTGCCGCGCACCGTTACTTTTGCTCACGCGAGGCGAGTTCGCGCGATAACCGACGCGCGTTTCGCTTTTTCTCGGAGTTTCTTCTTTCTCCGTACGACATTGTCATAAGGCAATATATCAGGTTTATTGTTAATTCGAAGAAAAAGAAAGGAAAGTTATCGTAGATGACCTACAATTTTTATTTCATTAACGTTTCGCAGGTACGATGAATACGAGCCGCCTCTGGAAGATTAAACGAGAGATGATTTTACAACTTCTTGTAAGGAGAACGCATGATTTAAAAGCATGTTACGTTTGATAAACAAGTTTGAAAAGAACGAGCACGAAACTCTTTCTCTAAAAATAAGCAAAAAGAATAAAGTTGAATCATATAGAAAGCGAAATTTATCACCGGCGTGTTCGAGTTTAATGAAACTCTGTTGCAGAATCATTGCAAAGATATCAGTTACAATTTTATTTTCGTTGATCTGTTTCACTTTCCATTTCTGGGACAACTATTTACTCTGCTTTCCTAATATATCGAACGACTGTCAATTTACAGTTAACGAGTAGAGTCGGAGAATTAATAAGTTGTTACGGAAATACATGATCCTGTTCAGATTTCGCTGCTAAATACACTGACCGGCACAGTAGAGCCAGTTATGGGTAGTAAAAAAATTCTAAACCAAATACAAAGAATTTAAAGTTAGTACGTAGTGGAACTCGACTGTTAACAGGATGCTAGAAATCTGGCACGCCATGCCAAACAGCGTGCTCGCGTTTCCGTGGCATTGTCGTTAAACATGGAGAGAGGAAAATAGAAAAAAAAATACGCGGAAAGAGAGGCGAGAAGGGGGAGGGACAAAAATGATACGCGGTTCGCGCGAAAATGCATCTACCGCAACGAATCGAGAATGAGAAACGTTACGCATTGCGCTGTGAACCTTTTAACCTCTCTATACGCTGAACGAATATTTTTTTTACATCTTTGCATCTTTCCTCAAATAAATTACAAGGAACTTGGATCGTTAATTATACCAGTGATTCATGCATATCTTAAATTTTTTTTTTATTTCGAGGCCTTTGTTCGCGTAGTAGGATGTTTTTCGCTTTCGTTCGTAGACCGGTTGAGAAATGAAATTAAATTCTTGTTCGTGCGCTCGGTGGAGCGTAGTTAAATTCGCTTCGTTTCTCTTTGCAACAGATTTCAAAAGATCGAATCCACTGGCGCTGGTTCGAAAGTTGATCTCGCGCCTTCGAAGTATCCTAATTCGTAGCGAAGACGCAGTCGGCAGCTAATTCGCGAACAAGTTAGTCATTATCGTCAGGAGGACGATTACGCGGTACGTATACTTTTGTTTCGTCTTACGAGAGCTCGGTCACGCCGCGAGTGCATCCTCGAGAACTCGTTCCGAGCGAAAGAGAACTCGCCCCGGCAAAGTGACACGAACGCGCACGTACGAGTGTGAAATACGACTTAAGCTTTGCCTAGTTCTCACGGCGAGGGTTTCGTCATTTCGAGGCGGCTAATTGCACGCGGCTCGCGACCGGATTTCATCGGCCTGCCACCGATCGAAATTTTCCACTTTTCCCGTTGCGTTTCCCTTTTCAGCGCTCGTGAAATCGACCTGCGAGCTTCCGAGTATCCTGCAAAGAATCGCGAATACGGCCAACCATCAATTAACACTTTCACGGTCGGTTAATTCGATTTCAAAGCTGGAAAACGAATTATCGCGTTGATTGGAAGAAGAAATAACCGTCTATTAGATCGCCG